TCGCCTTAGCTAGTAGTTTTGCTTCAAATTCCTTTGTCTTTCACGCTCATTTTCTCTTTGTTCATCCGTCAAGTTTTGCCTCATATTCCTTTTTCTTTCACGATCATGTTCTCCTTGTTCATAATCGAAGTCCCGCCTGGATTTGCGTTTTCTCTCTCTCTCTGCTTGCCGCTTTTCTTTGGTGAGATTCCTTCGTCTTTGCCTTTCTCTTTCAYGTYTCCAGAGTTTTTCCTCTTCCGAAAAAACTCTTTTACTTCTGGCCTTTCTTTTGGCTTCATGCTCCTCTGAGCTTTCTTTCGACATATCGATTTCGGAAAGGGGTTCCATCGTAAAYAGAGTAAAYATRRATATAAATATAAGCTTGAATAAAAAATTGTGTTGTTATCTTTCGGTATTTCTATACTAGTCCAGCTGTTATCGGTCCATTTCGTGCACTTTATGATAAAAGCATGAAACTTGGCCTGATGTATGGCAAGCCATACCATTCAAAAGTGTATTGAGTTTGCGATTAGTGATCGAAATTGCAACTGGCTATCGAGAAATCGATCGCTATGAACCAGAAATTGCAAYTACTGAACGAGAATAACGATCGATGATTGAGAAATCACGATCGATGATTGAAAATTGCGACTGATGAACGAGAATCACGATCGAGATCGATTGAAATCCTAAGTCACGTGATCGTGCCTTGGAGTCAAAAAAGGAAGATTAAAATCCTATTTCTCATCTTTTTAAKGTGGCTGCCTACTTTTGAACGTTCGATTTGAGCCCACGATGAGCGCGCGCTCAAAAACCGCTGAAAAATCTACAAGATTTTATTGAAGAACCATACGCGTTTTGAGCTTCAACAGGGCAAAACCCTCAAATTTTGCACGGGACTCTATATTTTTTGATAGCTCATTCGAAAAAACTCCTAAAAATCAAGGTTATATCACCATTTTAGGAAAAGTTTAAATCAGGAACACGTGAAAAAATAGATTTTTGTAGGGATTTTTGTTCGAGTTTATGAGATTTTTTAAGAGCACCGAAACTACAAAATATGACAAATCAATGTAT